TTTTTCACTTCATGATCAGAGGGGTATTTCATTATTTCCTGATTTCATTTTTGCAAGATCTGAGGGATTGCCTTTGTGAAGATTAGGCTGGTCCTAATTTCATAGAGTAATTCGCTACATTTTGGTGGAGAATGCGGGCATAGTTGTTAATCTGACTAATGAAATATTAATCTGATTATGAAAATGAAAAATTAATTATTAATTTCCCACGTTGGCATGAGGTTTTGTTTAAGAGAAAAACGGCTTTGCTGAGTGTTCAGAGTACAGTTTTAGGGAGCTGCAGACCTTGATTCTGTTAAAAATCTGTTTATCTTGGTAAAGGTGCGTTTGGAAGTCTGTACTGGACCCGCTGAGGTCCGGTTTTGTGGTTCTGATTCTGCGCCGCTGCGCACAGACAGGTGAGGTCCTGCTGGAGAAGCTGCGCCGTCAGCTCTGGAGAGCAGTGACTGTTGTCTCGCTTGAGAAGCGATATTGCATGCATGTGCTCATATCTGTATGAATGAGTGAAAAAGGGGTCCCTTTGTAAATCCAGTGTTCATACCGACGGGTTTTTAGAACGTAAATCTGGTCTGGCTACGTGCGTAATTTACGCGTAAAGGTAACCAGTTTAAACTCCACGACATAAAGCTTTCCGAGGTCGCGTCTCAGAAGCTTGTCAACACGGTTTATCTTATAGAAGTAAATATAACGTGTAGGGAGTTTAGCGCCGTTGGAGGCTAAGAAGCTGTTAGCTCCGTGCCGAGGCGTTATTCAGACGAGTCAGTCTGATCCACACTGTGCTGTGTGGTGCGCTGCTAGCGCTAACAGGGAAGCTAGCTGATTTATTCAGTATTAAAGCTGCCGCGAGCAGAACGTCTTGCCCTGTGTTCCGTGAGAGTCACGGATTTTAGCTTATAAAACGTGTGCCTTGCTTTGGGTTACGTGGAGCTAATAAAAGTTTACGCTGGTGAGCGTAAAGACGGAGGTTTGGCTCCGTGTTGGCGAAGCTGCTGCTAGTTTCTGTGTCAGAGCAGCCGCCATCTTGGGTCTGACGCACGGCGTCAAGACGTAGCTTAACGACGTAATTACGTCACGACGTAACTACGTCACTGAACGTGATTTCTCCCGAAGGAGGGGTGAAACGTCACGGGTTCTCTTCAAAGCTGTGTTTGTGGGACAGAGTCGACATCTGCTGGTTTTTTTTGCTGTAATTACACCCTCAAGAAGGTTGAATTGTTTAATCTGCTCATAAAAATGGAGATTTTAGCTCAAAATTAGGCAAAAAATTGTATTTTCTTGCACAAAAAAATTACTTTAATTAAAATTAAAGTTAAGAAACAAAAAGCTATTGTTTCCTGCAAAAATTATTGGGGTTAAACTTATTTTTAGAGTAAAATAAAGCTTCATTTTGTTTTAGATCTAAAA